CGCGTGTCTTTTCTTCTTCAGCCTTCTCTTTCTTGGCAGGCATGTTCAATCGTTCCTGCAGAAGCGCTGTAGGCGACCGCAGAGCAGCTTTTGACTGCGTCTTCGAATTGCGGATCAGGTCGTATCGCTTCTCGAGCTCGGAGCGTGGCTTGGAGGAGTCGGATACGGGGTTCGTTCCTAGGTTCAGCTCTGCAGGCCGTTTCAGGCGTGCTATCGAGTCTGTGCGTTGACGGGGTGAAGAGGTCGATGTCGATGCGGTGTGCTTCAAAGAGATGGATGAGTTCCTTGATTGATGATGGTTGTCACTCAGAGCGAGGGACGTGGGTCGGGACTGTTGTGGGAGGCTGTCATCGTCCGAGACATACACACCAGAGTCTCGGTCGCGGGATTGCGTGGCACTGGTAGTTGCGGTAGACACTGGCCGTTTGAGGGCGCTGTCTTGGCCGTGCGTAGAAGGGGAAGGCGCAGGCTTTTCTTGCTGTGGAACGGCTTCCTGGACATGTTGGACTGCTGCTGTCTCTTCCTTCGCAACAGGCACGAGTGTCTCTGTCGCAGCAGTGTTTTGAAGACGGCTCAATGGCGACGATTTTGGTGGCGGTGCTGGTGCCTCCTCCGTGTCGTCCAAAATCAGCTTCTTCGAGTAGTTCTTGACTGGAACCTGAACCTCTCGCTCAGGCTCTTGCATCAAAGGCTCCCGCTCTTCAGCAGGCGGCGTTGCGATGAGAGGCACGGCTTCTAACACCTGTTGATGCTCCAATGGCTTGGCGTCATCGTCGAAAAGGAAAACTCCAGAATCCTCGCCATCCGGATTCAGATCCAGGTTCTTGGCTACCAGAGGGATAACCATACTAGAATCTTGAGCTGCTGCATCTTCAGTGAGCAGAGGTGCCTTAGACGGATCAGGCTTGTTGCTCTTCCAAAAGGCGAAGGAAGGCATGTTGTTTGAGGAAAGGACTGTGGGCCGAAAACTATCGGTAAGAAGAATGAATGAAAGACTGAAGAGCAGTGTCTTGCTCCCATCCTGCTCCCATCTCGCTCTTTACATACCCTCAACCCACCACGCCGCCTCCAAACCCTACAAGCACAGCCCCCTCCACCCACGCGTCCTCCAATACCCCTCTCCATCACCACATCCTCTAATCCCACATCCCACTACCCTGAATAATCTCCTTCCACGATGCCAAATGGCTATCTGACGTCTGTCTACTCGCTCAATGTGGAGGTGGTGCGATACGAAACACCGACAGCCGGGATCTAACTGGCGCATTGTTTGACGACATCCTAGCCCGGGCCTGTCTCAGACGCGACTGACGTTCATGCGCGCTAGGATCATGGAGGTGGGATATCGATAAGAAGGATGTGGGACGGGGATGCGGTTTATGCGTCGTGGGTGTGCGGAGGGGTGGGTGTTGGAAGTTGATGATGTGCGAGTATTTTGACTGGAGTGTTTTGAAACATCTATGAAGGGGGCTACCTGTCTATGCGCATAAATTCTTTCGTTATTGTCTTAAGATCATCGTGTGATGATATCTCGGTAGCCATCTAATGCCGGTCTGACGAAAAGTCTTACACAACGCGTCCCTTCACCTGCTTGATGTTCTTAACGTTGATGTCGCGCCATCCCGCCGCGGCGATAAGAGCGCATCCCAGCATACAGATACTCGTGATGAGCATAAGTCGCTGCGAATCGGCATAGGACTGCGCAATTCCAGTCCTCTCAGGCGATCCCCACTCGTACGACAGCTGGTTGGGCAACGAAGCGTAGATATCCGCAACATTGACACCAGCCGGGACGTTCTTCACAAGGTTGTTGTAGAAAGTTCCAGTCCAGATGGCGGCCGAAACCGTGCTTCCGACTGCACTGCCAATAGAGCAGAAGAGGTTGAGAACGGCGATGATGACGGCCATGTGCTGATGGTCTGATGGCGCCATCATAGCCAGCTCACCTGCGATGACGATTGTGCCTCCTGCAACCGCAGTGAAGATCTGCGTCATGACGATGAAACCCACTGATGTCCCCGGTTGTCGGAAGTGGATCATGAGTCCCAGAGCCAGGATGTCAATCGGCAGTGCGAAGAAGACGGCAACCCATTTGAAGCGCCCTGTAATTCTGATCGCTGGCCCCACAGCTGCCAAGCACCAGAAGCAAGAGACCACACGGTAGATACTCTGGACGTAGCTGGCGGTGGTTACGTTGAGGTTCCAGACCACCTGCAACATTGACCCGAAGTAGCTACCCCAAACCGCGCTGTTGAAATAGACGAAGACGAACATGATGCCGGCGAGGAATACGGTGCGGTCCAGGAGCAGTTTGTACGGGATGAACGTGACAGGTGCGAAGAACCTTTCCCAGATGGGGAATGCGATGAGGAGAATGAAACCAGCGACTATCATTCCGATAATCATAGGACTTTTCCACTTCTCCGCTTGGTAGCTGTACAAGCTGAACGGCAGCAAGAACAGCGCCATGCCTGCTACCAGTATCAAGATACCAACAGCATCAATGTCGACGCAAAACTTCTTGATGGCGGCAGCGCTCCAGTCGATGCGGCGTGGCTCGAGTAATCCTTGCTTCCGCGCTTTTCTGTCGTTGAAGAGAACCAAGGCAGCGAGGGGTGTGACGACGACGGGTATGATGATGGTGAAGATGCCGAAGGCCCAGCGCCAGCCAGGCCCAGAGAGGACGGATTGTGCAACGGGACCGCCGATCCAGGTTGTGATTATATAGGGCGAGGTTGCGAAGGAGAGCATGAGAGCGCGGTTCTTGAGGGTCGAGGTGTCGGCGATGAAGACGGTCAGGATGTAGGAGACTGCTTGTGATCTGACATCTCGTTAGCGATACGCCTTTCAACCTTACCTGGCAAGAGGTGAAGAGCGCTTACCCAGTAGAAGAAAACACCTGAGCCGCAGCATATGTCTCCACGTTCTTACACGAAGCCATCATAATGTATCCCACCATCCACACGCACAGCGAGAGCAAGAGTCCTTGGGGCCGTCCCCACATATCCAGTAGCTTGGCTAGGGGGATCTTAGACAACCCGCCGATGATGGAGGACATGATTCCTGTAGCGGCTGTAAGGGAGTGGAGACGGAAGGCGCTGGTCACGTATGGGTTCATGGCGCGAATGACGACTTCTTGAAGGGCGGTGACAAAGTAGATCCACCAGATGCTGTGCAGATGTTAGCAGAGGTATGGAGATAGAAGAGCGAGACCGACATGACATAGGCGCCGATGAGATGGTATTTCGTCCATACTGTTGCCGCCGCCTCGACGGCTTTGACACCGGCTTGGGCGTTGCTGGAGAGACTTTCTTGATCGGTAGCCTTGTCGTGAGACGCATCGGTGTGTACGCCTTTCTCTGTATCGGCCGCTGGATGAGACATATCGGCGGGCTCGACAGAGTCGGTAGCCTGGTTCTTGGGATGAGAGAGGAACTGCATGCTGTCTGACACCGAAGCGATGGCGCAGTCCGACCAGAAATGAGAAGAAAGGATCAGCGAAGAGGCCTACTACGCCCAATCACTGTGTCTTACAATGCGTTCTTATACTTTCTCGAACATCCAGAACCCTATTCTTCCCGTTCACCACTCGTATAAATCCACAGAGCCGCAGTCTTGAGGCCACCACAGGCCACTGCCGACCCTCCAGGACCAGGACACTGGAACCGCCTTCTACATTTCGCACCTATGACAAGGCTACCAAGGCGGTTTCAAGTACTTGGCAGTGCTTGGTCGCGGAACATCGATACTTGAAGTGGTATTGAGGATGCGTAAAGTGGAGTGGTGGTGTTCGTGAAGGTGCTAGCGCGGAAAATTCGATCTGATTAGATGCAGAGATAATCTTATCAGCGGAGGTTCGGGGCATTGGAAGTCCGGGCGAAGCTCGGATCTTGGACGATATAGAAGGAGCGCAACGTGTTGTTTACTGGAGGCGCGGTTTTGAAATTGCATCGCTGCCACGTGTCTTTGTCCCTTTTCTACCTTGGTGACTCTGTGTGAGTTTGTGAAGGAGCTGCTAGGTGTCTGCTGCTGGTGTAGTCGACGTAAGAGATGTCAGTCGATTGCGAGGGCTGGCGCGACGTCAAGATCGAACCGTGATCGAGAGCCGTCCGTCACGTTACATTGGACAGTACTGCGCCCCTACGTTATTACAGTTCTGGCAATGCGCTCCCGTTGTCACGGCGTCTCAGTGATGTTTCGACCGGCTAAAGGGCTATGATGCACAGTGAATTAGGAAAGCTGCAGCAGACTACCAGTGCGATGACTGAGTGACTGCACCCGTCTGAGGTGAGACCGTGCCGACCCTCAAGCGTCGACGCGGCAGACAATAACCTGCTCATGAGCATGTGGGATGAAGTCCGTGGGGTGTTCACTTGCGATTTGCAGGATGTGCATGAGAATTGCTTCTGCACGAGTGCCGACATGCCGGGCATGTAGGCGTGGTGCGCAAACCCCCAGAGGGAAGCTAGCGCAGCTGGCGATCAATCGTTATCACAAGACAAGGTGTGCAGGGCGTGGAGAAAGTTGAAGCCACTCCATAAGACGGCAGGCCGCAGCTGACGATGCGATGAGAGAGCGATTCGTCGTGTTCGGGAGATAGCAGGTCTTTGTGCGATGCGCTGGCAGGCGTCGGTTCGTGCCTGAAATGCGCCTCGGGTGCGTCAGCGTTCCCGTCCAGGGCTGGCCGGATGCAACCAGGCAGCTTTGAGCGTGCCAGTCTTCACAACGTTAAACCTCGTCCATCGTCGACTGCAGCGCGTTCAAATGCCCACGCTGTCTGCGCGCCACAGCCCCCCTGTACCGACAGCGACAGCTCACTCCCCGCGCCAGGCCCTGTCCAACGGCCGCACGCCGCGTACTCATTACAGCAGCCTCATCTACTTACCGCCCATTCGCACCCGGACCTGCCTGCTGTCCAGGCCCCAACCAGCGAAGACGCGCCGGAGCCCGCGCAGGATGCCACGAGTGCTGCGGCCCATTGAAGCAAAAGCACGTCCATGATGATGCCTCCGACTGCATCCACTGCCGACGACCTCGACGGCTTCCAGTCCTTGACCGGCGTGGCAGAGAGTGCAGAGCCCACTACGTCAACGCCTGCCCGCGACGACCCCACGAGCAGCACCACCGCCCCAGACATGTCGGCTCCCATGCGTCAACACCCGCTGGCTGCCCAGCGCCCGCCCTTCAGCGTCAACGGCTCGCCCTCGCCGCGCTCGTCGCGCGAAGCCTCGCCCGCAGGCCCTCACCACCGCAGTGCCACGCCCTCCGGCGCCAGTGCGAGGCCGGGCTTCCGCTCACGCAAGAGCAGCGCCGATGCGAGTCCCAGCCGCGGCTCCAGTCTGTCCAACTCTGCTGTCGCCCCGGGGGTGCAGCGTGCTCTGTCCTCCACCAGCATACCGGAGCTCACCCCAACATCGTCGACCGACACGGTGCGAGCCACACGCGCTTCCAAGCCATCGTCAAAACCGAACTCGGGCGACACGACTCCCCATTGGCCCCTCTCACCGCGCCTCAAGTCACCACCGCCGGGCGATGACGGCCGCTCTCGTTCGCGCACCAACTCGCTGCGTTCGCAGATCAGGAAGCCCGAGGCCCAGTCGACGCCCGCTATCGTCGTCCAGAGCTCGTCCCCAGCCTCAGTCTCTCGCTTCCCAGTGAGAGAAGACGTGCCCGTGAGCGACGTCGACGAGCCACCAGCCCAGCCACAGACACAGCCTCAGCAAACCATCAAGGCGCCCTCGCGCAGTTCCGGCGGCGCGGCTCCCAAGCTGGCAACGGTGCAAGAATCTAGCTTGCCTGCCACACCCGGATTTGATGGTCTAGAGCCGCAAAGGTACGCTTTCCCCGCAACGGCCCCACTGTTTGTCATCGCGACGCACGTTAGACTATCGACGGAGCCAATTTCCGCTGCCATCCGCAAACTTTGTTAACCTCGCTCTTAGCTTTGTTCCCCCAGCGACTTCCCACAGAACTGACCAGGACCGAAATGACGTCAATTCGTCCAAAGTCACCGAAGACCTCAGCACCAAGCACGACACGTCCAAGCACACTGAGAGCGGGAGCGACAGCGCGACCAAGAGCGCCAAGAAGGGCAAGATGCAGGAACAGCGCTCCGCCTACACTCATCGTCCGCACACCGTCTCGGCCAAGCCCTCCCTGTCCTCAATGTCGACGCGATCGCGAGACCCGCCCCTCCGCAACATGACGGTCGAAACCGAGACCGTGCCCTCTGTCGCGCAGCCGTCAATTGTAAACCAAGACAGATCCGCCTCAGGTCGCGTCGACGGCGGCATACGGCTCAAGCCCAGTAATGAGACAATTCGTCCCAAGACCCAGAAGAAGGCCCCCAAACGGAAGGCCGCATCCATCAATGCAGGCACTGGTAGGTTGCAACACATCTCGTACCACTATTACATTCCACGTCGGCCGGAGTACGGCTCTCGCTCCGGCGTGCACCCGTCCTTCGGCAGCCCCGTCTCATACCGCTCATATGACGACCGGCCGTCTTTGTTGACCTTGTCACCCCCAAGTCCAGCGTTGAGCATGGCTCCTCCCCGCCCTCCCCATCTCAGCTATTTTTATTCAAGCACTGACTCAAGTTATCGTACAGCGTCATCCAAGGCAGATGTATTCGAACAAAAGGTGGCCAGCGCCGTCGACGAGGCCGACTCGTCTGACTCGGACGCTACCTTTATCTACGAATCGAATCCTCCCGAGCAGCCAACTCGCAGCCGCCAGCACCACTCGCGAACGCCAAGCATGACGTCGTTAGCCAGCCTCACAGACCCACGACTCCAGATCCGCGACACGCACAAGCATCCAAGCAAGAAGAGCAGCATCAAATTCACGAACCCATACACCAACGCGAGCATTGATGGCGATGACCGCGGCGAAGGTACTGTCCGCATCGGCTCCGGACGAGCGGGCGGAGGTAGCCACCATCACCACATTGGAAGACATGGCCAGGGTCGGGGCGCGCTCAGCCACATCACCATGGACAGCGACAACTCGGTACCGCAATCTTCGCGCGCACGTGGCCCGTCCTCCAGACACGCGTCGCAACCGAACAGCCCTCGCTTCCATACTTTCAATGTTGGCAATGGTCACAGCAACGGCAGCAAGAAAAGTGGGGAATTCTCTGCAGCATACGATATCGACGCCGAAAACATCGCCGATGATGAGCGCACACCTCTGATCCAGTCTGGGCGGAGCCCACGGGCCCGCACGCCTCGCCAGCGCAACACTGCCACTATTCGCCAACTAGAGCGCCGGCATCACCGTGATGGTGGGTGGTGTCGGCGGTTCGCTGGCTGCCTGGTTCTGTCGATCCTGCTGCTCGTCGTCGTATTCTGCGCTGTTGGGCTTGTCTTTGCAACAACGAAACCGCTCACTAGCCTTGTGGTGCGAGACATTCAGAACGTCGTTGCAAGTCAAGAAGAGATTATGCTGGATCTCATAGTCAACGCTGTCAATCCCAACATTATCGGGGTCACTGTATCCGACATGGACATTTCGCTGTTTGCTAAGAGTAAGCATGTCGGGTCGGACAGTTGGTGGCGCGAGCACGGGAATGGCCCACATGACAATGTAGAAGATTGGAGACCGATCGAGGAAGACGCAGTTCCAGATATCTCGATTACCGGTGTAGACGAGGGAACCGATCCTATCGAGGGCGAACCACGGACCATGTTGCTAGGCCGCATCGCCCACTTCGATTCGCCATTAAACTTTGAAGGTTCCTTTTTCCAGCGGCACCGCGCCGAATCTATTGGTGAGCTCCGACTTTCGCACCCAGGGAACAAGACCGAAGCTGGTGGCAGCGAACGTTGGGAAGAAGTCCTGCAGTATCCCTTCGAATTAATCGTGCGAGGCAACTTCAAGTACACACTGCCCCTCAGCACGCAAGAGTTCAAAGTCCCTGTCACGGCAACCCATTACTACGACCCGGATATCGAGCGCAAGAAGAAGCTCGACTTTGCAGAGAAAATAGAAAAGAGGAGGAATCCATTACCTGTATCAACAAAGCCTTGGGGACGTTACGACCGCAGAGCCCTACCGTTCTGGAGTCTCCTATAGCATGTCCTATCCTGTATCACAACATTGCCCGAACCAGAGGGGCTAGCACAACCGTGTGGCCCCAGCAATATCGCCCAAAAGAAACTGATACCCACTAAAAACGAGTTCACGACACAATAGACTTGTCCCGTCCCGGCAATTGCGAAATCAGCACACGCGTTGCCTTTTTCTTTCGGCTCCACAGCCGTTCACGAATTCCTTTTTCGATCTGCAAACCACCACACACCGCCTCCTCCGAACCGGCTGTTCGCATGCTCTCACAGCGAGTGATTTTGAGCGCCCTTCCTTGACCTTGCGCTTCAGCGATGGTGTTTGTATCATGACGTTTTCTTCTTCTGCATTGCCCAGCTTTTGGAGGACCCAGCCTCCGTCCCCAGCGACTTTCAGCGCTTTTCTGGTTTTAGCTTGGAGGTGGATTGCGCCTTGCCAGTCCAAATACATTCCTTTGATCTCTCTTCTATGTATCCATAATTTAGCCCTTTACTTTTGGTTCCGATTGGACCTTTGTTCGTTCCCATAGCGGCTAGGGTGGTGCATCAGGTTAGGTATGGCATGGCATGGTATGGTAGGGACTGGAAAGACATTTGCATTGCGCTGGGAGTATGGACATACAGGAATTCATTGAGTTACTCATACTGATATCCCTTATCTTGGCTCCTGTGATGTACTAAATCTTCAAACCCAGGTCATGAAAATCGTTAGGTCCTTGCAGGGCAGGCGACCAGACATACTCCAGAAGAGCGCCATGGATACATCTAGCGGTCAGCCTCGCCACCCTTGCTCTTCTTCGCTGGTTGCTCCGCAGTGCCCTTCGCTCCTGTGGTAGCCGCGACCTTACGCTTCTTGGGCGGTGCCTTCGCAGTAGCCTCAGCGTCCGTGGCAGCCTTGGTGGACTTGTGTGCAGCATCAGGAGCAGTCTTGACCTCCAGAGTAGACGTTTTCTTCTTCTTTTGGGCGTATTCTTCCTTGGCTTTCGTCTCGGTTGCCTTGTCCTTATTCTTCAACTTCTTGAAGAATGCATCGAAGTTCTGGTCGTTCTTGCCCACCTTCTCTAAGCCCATGTTGTGCCCGGCGCGGCTGGTATAGGGCTTCAGACCCCATGCTTGGATCTTTCCGGTGCTCACGTCCTTTTGATACAGGCCCTCGACCATGTACGCATGTTGGTCGTCGTGGAGGAAGTTACACGCTTTGCGAGGACAAGGGAGATTACTAGCGGGATCAAGGTTGTGCCTCTCTTCCTTTGTGCACCTTGTTTTCCATCTTGGTATCTGCTTGGGACGAGGAATGGACTCAGGAGTAGGGGTTTCCGAGGTAGCTTCCTGCTCTGCCGGGTTGGACTGGCGGCCGGTGTTCTCGTGAGGTCTGTACTGACGTTAATGGCTACTTTCGCCCATCAGGCTACTGACAGAAAAACATACCGGACTCGTGGTGGCTGCAAGATACGATGGGTGTCTTGAAGAGGTGGCTCTTGTGGATGTGTACCCTCTTGGGTTGTCTCAGATTCCTTGCCACCCTCAAGCGCAGCCATCATGGCAGCCTCGAACTCATCCTCGGGTGCGTCTGTTGTAGACATTAGAGTTTGTATCTTCTTCGATCTGGTCAACGTACCCTGTGTGTTCTTGGAGACATGCTCGTAAGCCTTTACCAGGGCCGGGCTCATGGACAACTCGCGGTCGGGTTCATCGACCTTGCTGCGAGCTTGAAGTAGTACGTCTGGCTCCAAGCCCCCCAGCAGTTCCTTGGCGGCAGCGACCTTGCTCATAAGAGTGTTCAACTTGTCCAGAGTCGTGACTCCCGGCATGTCCTTGAGGGCGACATCGAGACGAGCCATCACGGTTGCTGTGGTATCCCCCAGGTTGGAGGTTTCATCGCCTTGACCACCATTCACCGCAGGTCCTAGGTCATATCCTGATGAGGACATCTCGTTCACTTCTATCTGTATGTCAGGTTCATGGCTTCACTTCGTGGTTACAAAAAGACTTACGAGGAAGAGTTGGGTATTGGGAATTGGGTATGATTAGAGAGGAGCAATGGTAAAACGATCGTGTGGTATCAATCGGAGGAGGCGCTAAAGAGTAGTTGTGGGACGAGGACAGTGCTCTTTGCGGTGCTGTAACGGGAGCCTATCGCGTTTGCAGTGACGTAGTGGTATCGAAATGAAGGTCTGGAGTCGGCCCAAACCCATGTGACTGCCTATAGTCTGTCGACGTTCAGATTCACGATGGGGCGCTTATACACGTCTTAGTCTCGTACTGGAAAGCCGGATGGCTCCGATGCGTTCGAATCTCCCCCCATTCTAGTTCCTCTTGCATCCTGCCTGACACGCCATATTTCTTTGAACGTGAGCCTGTAGCCTAAACCACGCAGGGAAGACTTGGGCTGTGTGACCACGCAAATTCACCATTCACTATCTTTTGCGACCGTAATCAGAGCTTCGGCTGGTCCAAGCGCCAGTCTAGCGCCCCTCCACGTCCTTTCGAATAACACCTTCCACTTTGTTTACTTTTCTTCCTCTTCAGTCGCACTCACATCCGCAAGATGCGTGCGACTCGCAACCTTCGGCGTTCTAGCCTGCGCCGGCCGCTGCCGCTGATCGACTGTAACTCTCAACCTTCGATCTTCTTTATGAAGGTACGTTCTGGAGATGTCGCGTCAACCCTGTGATATCCAGCTGACTTGATACTTACAGATCGCCGGGTTCTGGTGCCCTCGCATGCGCACAACTTTCACGGAACCGAGAGTACAAGTCGACAGACGAACGCGGCTGAGTGAACCCGACAGGTTTGCTGGACCCCAACAACGGCTGTAGTATTATAGGCTGTGGTTTACGCTACAGTTGGCTGGCCCTTAGCCTTTATGGATTCGGGTTCGGCAGGGTCTATGCTAAGTCAAAGAGAGTGATGGCCTCTTTGACCGCATAGATTGGGGCTATAGTAGGTTCGCAAGTCCACTACCGCTGGCCCCGACGGCTTACCACCACTGAGGTGAGACGCTCTGGCAGATAGTGGGTCTGTCGTCAGGTTCAGTTATGGACAGTCACTGCTCGTATGTCAGGTACAATCGTTGGATAGACAGGATCAGCAACCGCGGCTGCCTTCTTCGTGGTCCTGTTTCAGGTCACAACAATGGTGGTTCGATTCCATACCACGTGTACCCGCCGCCGGTGTTACCCTTCTCAGGGAAACGTGTGCGGAAGATATCTGCGATAAGAAGACTTGCGGAACTTCTGATAGGTCAAATGACCCACGATACATGACATGCAGGTGGCTGGCTCCCATATCGACGACAAAGAGACAAGAGATCAGCGGCGGTCGTAAAAAGCCTAAGCTTTTCTTCTGTTTCTCGAACCACGGCACTTGGAGAGGGGCCCATGTGCCACTTTTTGGACTCTCCAAGACCGCCAACCATCGGTGGTCGTACGCCTCCGCCGGTGGAAAATCCTATGTCACCATAGGTAAACTTGGTGGATGTTTGTGCTATCGTTGTGCAGGCCAACGTAGTGACAGCAACACCGCCATTGTCCTGAGGTCGGTCTTTTGCACGATGTTAGTCCAGTGCAGACCCAATACCCGAAGAGGTCGGTTCTCTGCCAAGGTCTCGACTCGCGTAGAGATACATACCCAGACTCAGGACTATTACTCGTGGGGCCCGGAGGATGAACATCAGGTACGTACCCCATCCCACCTTAGCACCCCTTTGGTATCGTCTTCACCGAGCGTAGAAAAGTCCCGACCGCGAAGCATCTTCACGGATGTCTCGAGGGCCGGACGAGATCTCAACATCTCACCTTAGGCAAGTGTCGAGAGTGCTCGCACTTCCAAGATCAAGTGGCAAGCAATGCGGCGCAAGTCGTATTCATTGGGCATGTCCATACTGCGATTCAACTCGCAGTATCTTTTTCATTGAGTCATTCGCCTTTACGGCGGGTCTCGAGGAAGGAGAAGGAGAAGGATGAATAGAGTAATGAAGCTGCATCTTGACGTACGGGCCGGTTGGAATGACTCTGAGGCAATGCGCAGAATCGCTTATTCTTCAGTGCTGAAAGTATACATTAGTACCATCATTCCTCGATACTGAACCCAGCATTCGATAGCGGCTTCCAGGACTGCGTTGCTGCCGATTACTCAAGACGAACACTCGCAAACCACCGACTCTTGCTTACCCTCCCCTTGATACGCAGACTCAGATTCGCTCGCGATAAGGCTCAAGGCTCGAATGCGAAGCCCAGAAGTGCGTTGCTGCTGGCACAGGGCAGCGGGTAGGCGAGACGGGGTTGCGATACCTCCTGAGTGAGCTGGGCAAAATGACGTTTACATTCAGGGTGGCGCTAACCTGAGCAAGTCACCTACCCGGCAACCACGTTGAGCTTGCAATGCTGAGAACATATTGTGCACATCGAATGACATTACTATTCTTTCTACATCTCATCTAGAACCAAGCTATCCCAAAGCCACCCTCTCCATTGCGTCGTCCTAGTAACCTTGATGTCCAGACGGTTACTTCCCTCCCCCTTCAACGCGCCTTCCGCGATCGGAAACTCGAGCAATCTCCACTCGCCCGCCCGTGTCGCACCACGATACGTATCCTGACTATTCAAAAGACTGGCGCTAGTGATGTTACCCACCTTGACGTCGTTGAGCAGGATATCGCAGCTCGAGCCCTGAGAGAAGCCCGCCAGCGAGACCGTCAACTTAGCGGCGGAGGTGCTCTTGGAAGGGAAGAGAACAGACCAGGTGCCAAGGGCAGATTGACCGAAACACCAGTCGAGAGGGGTGCTGGTACCGACGGTGTAGGTCAGGTTTGCTGGGCACTTGGAGATACGGGCGTGTTCGAAGGGGTGGGCTGGATCGGCGAGCTTGAAGCCATCGCTTGTGCGGTCGAAGTCGCCGATTTGGAAGATGCGCTTCGCGCTGTCGGTGACCTTCCATGTCATCTCCTTGAGGTTTGTGTTCTTGCCCTCGCGGATCTCGACGTCGTTTTGGGTAAAGTTTGTTGTGACG